CATATATATAATGTATATGAATATGTAAATACAGCATATTATAAGTCTGTAGTCATTAGTGTGTCGTTGAGCTCGTGTAAAGTTGAAGAACTGCAGTCACGCTGCTGCAGACACAGAGCTGCAACAACAGACCAGGGTTTGTTCGGTTTACCGGAAAGAATTCTGATTCCAACCAGCTGTTTCCCGCCTCGCACAGATCAGCTGCACACACACACACACACACACACACACACACACACACACACACACACACACAGTGGGCGGGGGAAGGAAGCCTCACACACACACACACACTGGAGGGATCCCATCAGCTGTGTAAAGCAACACAGGTTGAATTTATTTTGTTTTCTCTTCAGATTGAACTGGAAGCGGCGCGTCTGATCCACACTGAGCGAAACGACCGGATTCAAACCACCGTCGTTGATTAAACMGGAACACAGTGAGAGGAGAGGACAACAAACACCAGGTGGCTTTGAAAGCATGGATTATTTCATGATGCCGACAGAGAAGGTGTCGTCCTTACAGCACTTCAAGAAGACGGAGAAGGATGTTATTGGAGGTCTCTGCAGGTGTGTACCAACACTTAAACATTTCTGGTAACAACGCTCAGAAATGAGGTTTCGTGCAGCCCTGGTGGTCAGCATGTGTCTGAATGTGTGTGTGCGTGTGTGTGTGGCGGTGTGTGACTCCAGGTAACATGCTAGCTGTTAGCTTCGCTGCTGTGTGTTAACAGCTGCAGCCCGGTTGTGAAAATTAGCTGTAAAGTTGTGTCCTGCAGCTGAGGCCTGCAGCTTAAATAATCTAAATATAAAGTTACTCCTGGTTTAATCTCGTGCACAACTTCACCGAGGTGGTCCTAGTATGTAAATTAGCGACAAAGAATCGATACGCTTTAGATGGATGCCAACCACGTGGTAGTGAACATTTACCGTCGCCGCACGAAAACACGTTTGAAATTAGTTGTTTTTTACGTCACGTGTGTGTGTGTTTGCTCCACGGACAGTATTTTCAATGTATTTGCCTTCGCCTGAAGTCTTGGCTTGTTAAACTGGGCTTCGGCTCAAATGTGATCATTTGTCTGCTCCGTGCAGCAGACGTCGCTGTCATGTTGCTAAAATTAGCTTAGCTTGTCTCGACTGCGCACTTGGTTTGTAACTGCGCTGACTGTGGTATGGTTTCTTTCAGCTCGTGCTCGCTAGTGTGTTAATTTTTAAAGCGCAACCCCGTGCATCTTATGGTGCACAAACATGTGTGTTTGTCAGGAATCAGAGGCAACGCCAACCAGACGTTAGCTGTGTGCTAATGGAGCATTGTTCTGTGTGCCAGGGGGGGCCTGCAGCTGCTGCTTTGGTTTCAGGTTTCACTTCCASTGACATGGCGCGCCCCCTAGTGTCTGAAGATGGTGGGAGCACTTTTCTTCTGACAAAAATATTCAAATTTCTGGTGTCATCTCTGATGTATCAAATCACTACACACCATGGTTTGGACTTGAGACGTTTTTTTATGTATTATTTATAAAAAACAAATGTAAAACAGACAAACAAAGCTAATTACTTAAGGAAGAGATCTGTAAAATTAGTTCCATACATGGTATGTAATTCTGTTTTTATGGAAATGTAAAAAGTTTGGGCCATCTTGTAGGGATGTGGATAATAGAGCTGTGTATTGGCAAGAATTTGGCGATACGATACATATCATGACAGAGGGGTCACGATACGATATATCACAATATATTGTGATACTATAACACATATACAGACGTATACAGACATACAGACGTATACACACATACAGATGTATACAGACATATACAGACGTATACAGACGTATACAGACATATACACACATACTGATGTATACAGACGTATACAGACATATACACACATACAGATGTATACAGACATATACACACATACAGATGTATACAGACATATACACACATACAGATGTATACAGACGTATATACACACATACAGATGTATACAGACGTATATACACACATACAGATGTATACAGACGTATATACACACACACAGATGTATGCAGACGTATATACACACACACAGATGTATGCAGACGTATACACACACACACAGATGTATACAGACGTATATACACACACACAGATGTATGCAGACGTATATACACACATACAGATGTATGCAGACGTATACACACACACACAGATGTATGCAGACGTATATACACACATACAGATGTATGCAGACGTATACACACACACACAGATGTATGCAGACGTATATACACACATACAGATGTATGCAGACGTATACACACACACACAGATGTATGCAGACGTATATACACACATACAGATGTATGCAGACGTATACACACACACACAGATGTATGCAGACGTATATACACACATACAGATGTATGCAG